ATATTTCTACACTATAATAATACTAATAGTAATATTTCTATACTATAATAATACCAATAATATTTCTATACTATAATAATACTAATAGTAATATTTCTACACTATAGTAATACTAATAGTAATATTTCTACACTATAGTAATACTAATAGTAATATTTCTATAATAATACTATTAGTAATATTTCTAAAATAATACTATTAGTAATATTTCTATAATAATACTATTAGTAATATTTCTACACTATAGTAATACTAATAGTAATATTTATATACTATAATAATACTAATAATATTTCTAAACTATAGTAATACTAATAATAATACTTCTACACTATAGTAATACTAATAGTAATATTTCTACACTATAATAGTATAATAATACTAATAATAATATTTCTACACTATAGTAATACTAATAGTAATATTTCTACACTATAGTAATACTAATAAGAATACTATAATAATACTAATAATGATATTTCTATACTATAATAATAATACTAATAATAATATTTCTACACTATAGTAATACTAATAATAATACTATAATAATACTAATAATAATATTTCTACACTATAGTAATACTAATAGTAATATTTCTACACTATAGTAATACTAATAGTAATATTTCTATACTATAATAATACCAATAATATTTCTATGCTATAATAATACTACTAATAATACTTCTACACTAAAGTAATACTAATAGCAATATTTCTATACTATAATAATACCAATAATATTTCTATGCTATAATAATACTACTAATAATACTTCTACACTATAGTAATACTAATAGTAATATTTCTATACTATAATAATACCAATAATATTTCTATGCTATAATAATACTACTAATAATACTTCTACACTATAATAATACCAATAATATTTCTATAATAATACTAATAGTAATATTTCTATACTTTAATAATACTAATAGTAATATTTCTATACTATAATAATACTAATAGTAATATTAGTAATACTTGTATATGCATGGGGTTTTAGATTTTCTCCAGTTACAATGAAATTGTGCATGGTTGTTCAGATGGGAGAGAATTCTCCCCCGATAAGTATAGAAATACTTAAATCGTTTGAAGTATGTGTGGATGAGTTTCTGGCGTGTTAGGTTGTTTAATACAGATATCTGTCAACTAAACTATTCTGATGAAACATAAACACAGAAACCCATCTCCTTTATATAATGGCTTCCTTATGCCACTTTTAATTCGAGTTGTTAACATTAGACACCAGAATGTAATCAGATTTTTGGTAGAGGTCCAAGAATTAATGTTTCTCGATTGAATAGTATTTAACAGTGTTGACCGATGGGCTGTTAAAATTGACAGACTGAATAATTTACTTGTAACTCAATTTACTTGCCGTAAAATAGAAATTAGAATACAGTTTAAATATGGTTCAATTTATATTTTGTATGTGTAAACACCTATCACATACTAAGCTAAATATAGTCTATTAGGTCCGGTGTTCGATCCCTGCTTTGGCCGAGAAAGTTCACCCAGATTTTCCGGCGTGGTTTCCCCTTGTCAGTGATGCAGGGCGGAGGGTCTGACAAGGACAGCTGTCTAGTCATTCGGATGAGACGAAAAACCGAGGTCCCGTGTACACATTGGCGTGCACGTAAAAGATCCATTTTCAGTTGAAATTCGATATAAGAGTAGGCCGTAGTGCCGCTGTCCGGGCAAAATTTACCTCATAGCACACTGTATGGCGTATGCCCGTCTTCATAGCAAAACAGTAGGACGTTAAATACCATTTCATTTCATTTATGAGGTAAATCTGCCTATTGCAGGTCTTTCTTTATGAGGTAAATCTGCCTATTGCAGGTCTTTCTTTATGAGGTAAATCTGCCTATTGCAGGTCTTTCTTTATGAGGTAAATCTGCCTATTGCATGTCTTTCTTTATGAGGTAAATCTGCCCATTGCAGGTCTTTCTTTATGAGGTAAATCTGCCTATTGCAGGTCTTTCTTTATGAGGTAAATCTGCCTATTGCAGGTCTTTCTTTATGAGGTAAATCTGCCTATTGCAGGTCTTTCTTTATGCCTGAAATGTTATCTAAATTATAATTTGATTCAAATACAGATCTATATTTCGTTTCGTGTTTTATACTTTCGATGAAGATCTGACCGGTTATAGTGGAAGGTCGCGCCAGGGGTCATATTAACCAATTAGTGTTGATGTTTCTAGTAGAATACCCACAGTTTTGTGCACAACACACCAAGAACTTGCCGTATTTATTTCACTAAATGAATTTAGGAAAATGAAAAAACAAAATTGGAAATTGCAACATGGGCGACGGGAACATCTTTAGCATACTCAAGGCCAATACGCTAATCGTTACCATGAATGCCATTGACATTCATTCTGTCACCGGTAGCTTCCATGGCCAGACTTGAAGTAAACTTTTTTTACATGGCCAATGTTCATATAATCCCTCAACCAAGTGTCAAGGTATGGTATATCATGGCTCAGATATATGTTAAATCGACTCGAGCATGTGCCACAGAACCAAACATTTCCGAAAAGGTGCCCTTAGTTTAGTCTGCCCCATCACACCTCTGTGCCCTGCTCTATTTGCGATGCCCTGTGGTGTTCCTACCAACCCACCCAGGTTGTTTTAAATGGAATAGCTCTGATTTGTTTGACATAGTTGCATTCTTATGTAGTAAAGAAAACCACACCCTATATCCTCCATGTTCTGTAAGCCATCGCATATCTAGAGTCAACAACAAACCACAAAGACATGTTAGAATGTTCGGTTATGCTTTTTTGAAAAACTTTAATTAGGTCAATTTTAATTGTGAAGGGACTGTACAATATACCGGGGGGTTGGATGGCTGAATGGTTAGCACGTGCGCGCTGTATCATAAAGCCTGTCATTGAGTCAACTGGTTGGGTTTCGATTCCCCAGTTGTACGTGAGAAAGAGCATGGTCGCCTGTTCAACTTCGTGGGGTTTCTCCGGTTCATCCGATTTCCCCCTACTGCTAAAGACTGCTACGTGCAAGCGAATTATTGAAATACGATTGAATGGTGTGTTAGTCCCGAAATGACCTAGTTTGTGTCGAGTGGACGTTAAACCCCATTTCTCTCTCTTTCAAACGTAGCATATCGAGGGTTGGTTGAATGCTGAACACCAAAACCTAAAAGATCAAAAGCCGCCGAAGAATGCTTAATTTATAACCTACATTGGGATGTTTTATAACCTAGTTCATAAAGAAAATGGTGTGCTGAATGGTGTAAACGGGAGAAATTGACGTTTGAACCCCTCCTCCCCCCCCACCCATTCTCGGTATCCCCAGTGGTCCCGTTTCGTTCCAATCTGGTTAAAACATAGATCCTATTTCGTTTCGTTTTTTATAGTTAAAAATTTCGTTTTACTTGTCTTTACTACACTAGGATCTGGAAGAGTTGTTATATTACCGGAGTTCTGACTGAAGTGAGGAATTAGCCACTGAAACGGTCTGTTACGGAGAGTTCTTGGCATTTCGATGCACGGAATTGCTTGGGAGGAATCTGGAAGACCCACGGAGTTGGACAGGCGACCCTACTCTTGGTCACACTTAAAACAGAGAGAGAGTGGGGCTTAAAGTCCACTTGACACAAACTAGGTCATTTCGTGACTAAATTATAGTTCAATTTTTTTCAATAATTCGCTTGCTCGTAGGGGTTTTTAGCAGAGGGAAATTGGCAAAGGGAAGTACTTTCATCGGTAAAGTAAGCAAAACGCAAAGGCTTCAGAGACGAGGTTAAGATTTAACCATAAGGTAGCCTATAAATGAGAGAATTGCATTTGGGTCGGTATTCAAAGGTTTTCTTAAAGTTAAGTGAAAATACTTAATTTTTACATATAACAAAGTGTTTACCTTAAATCGGTATTCAACGGCTGTAATTTGCATATTCTTGGCTATGTGAAGTTCTTTCAGTGTCTACACTCTAAAAACCCAAATACCTGGCGTTGACTGTAAATTAATTACGAGTTCTATGCATGCAACCTTTGAAGTCACTCGAGCAGACAGTTAGTGACGCCCTGGCATGGTCGATGTTTTTCAGAGTATCCAGTATTTTTACTAGAACCAAAATAGCCATACTTTTATTGGAAATAACCACCCGATAAATTTGTGGGAATGTATCTTTCAGATCTCCTTTGAATACGAGCCCTGATAAACAACAATCACAGTAGAATGTAGTAGAATGTAGTCATACGTTACTCCACTAATGGTTCTATTTAGGCCCTATCATCTTATGGGAAGGTTAAAGATATAGTTAAAAGATATAGTTACCATGACGAGAGTGCGGATCCAGAGGTGTTGAATTTCTATGTTTAAAAAGCTCAATGTGTATGTATATATACGCCAAAATGACGACAGAGACCATGCGGGAGGGGGGGATACATTGTCTCAGGAACCTTGCAAATCCCTCCTTCAGAAATTCCTGGATCTGCCCCTGGACGATAGCAACATTACAACAGATGTGTCTTGAAGAATGTAGTTGGACTTAACTATTCATCACCAACACAAACATTTCAGATCCACACGCAATCCCCAATGTTAGGTTTTTTAAATATTATTAGCTGGAGTTGGGAGTGATTGGTTGTCACGGAAATGGAATCGAGGGACTGGGAATTGGTTTCTCATGCTGGACATATATATAAAGGGTTGTGTGATTGTGATAGCTCGGTGTAGAGCGAAGCAAATGGGTGTCACCATGAGTTCGATTCCCGCTGGTGCAAGCAAATGTGTTAGACCCACGGCCCTTGCTTTCTGTAGGGGATTCTAAATGGGAACCGCAACCCCTTTGCTTGTGTCATTTTAATCTGTGACAGTATTATCATGGACCTGTAGTACCACAACAGTATAATATAAATACAGTCTCCATAACTCAAATAATCAGAACCACGATTAAAGGGGAATAACTCCATTCAAGAAGACGTAGATCTTTTAATGAAGTGGCCATAAAGAATATGCACAGGAACATCTAAACCATAGTTTAATAAACACATTATTTTTTTTTTAACAATCTTAATAAATAATAAAGCAACAAATTTCATAATAAAAACACAAATTCAACTCCATATAATATTATTTTATAGCGGTTTGACTTGACCTGGTACCCAGTTTGGCTTGGCTATTGGGTTTTATTTAGTAAAAGTAAAAAATAATTCGGTACTCAATAGATGTGAGTACACGCGTCACACAACAATAATAAGTATAATATATAAACATATCAATAAATATGAATTACACAATACCAGATAAACAGCTTGATTGATAAAAAAGAGATCTTGCAGATGGTTTGAGAGAGAGAGAGAGAGAGAGAGAGAGAGAGAGAGAGAGAGATGGGGTTTAATGTCCACTCGACACTAACATATGGTTCAATTTTATTTCAATAATTTGCTTGCGTGTAGGGGTCTTTTGCAGTGGGAGGAAACCGGAGGACCCAGAGAAAAACCCACAAGGTTGGACAGGCGACCCTACCCCTGTCACTAGAAATTGATGAGAAAAAATTGATAATAAAAGCTTTCTAGTCACCTGGTCCTTTGTTGTTATGAAATAGGTACCTTGTGACAACAATAGATACCCTGTGACAACAATAGATACCCTGTGACAACAATAGGTACCCTGTGACAACAATAGGTACCCTGTGACAACAATAGATACCCTGTGACAACAATAGATACCCTGTGACAACAATAGGGAACCGTGGTTTCATTTAAACAAGACATAAAGAACCAAATCAAAACCCGGGACCAAGCCAAACCAAGACACTTGTACAACATGCATCTTTCTAACTTCTAGTAACAGGTCATCCATGCCTATCAAGGTGCATGGGGCCCCTGACTCACTTAAGTAAATGGGTGCTCTTTTCTAGCTCCCTACCTAAAATAGATTAAGTTTATACTAAAATTGAATCATGTAATATTTTGTTATTGATTTGAATATAGATTATTTAGAAGGGTACAATCTTAAATCAATAATATATATCAAACACAAATTTCGATAAAATTAGTTTAAGTACCTTTAATGCACTAAAAGAATCAGTGATATCCAAAAAGTTCAATTTCTGAGAAAAAGTAACCTTCAATGTTTAACAGTGCCAAATTGGTCGGTCTCCAGCATCATAGTGAAACACAGTGTTGATTTAGTTTGTTGGAAAAAACACCATTTATTATCTCAACGATCTCCTAACAAATAAAGTTTTCATTTATATCTAACAGTCCCCCGCCCCAAATAAAAACGGTAGACCAGTAGAAACATTTCCAAGACGACCCTCAAAACATAAACTGGTCAACCAGTTGGCTAATCACATTTACTCTCTGGATATAAATTTACAGCAAAGTCACTTAATGGCATGAGCAAATAAACAATTTATTCAGACGAAAATACATGAAAATAATGAGATATATTTTACACATTTTTGAAAATTATTTAGTGAAAAATTCTGGCAGTAAAACATAAACCGATCAACCAGTTGGCTAATTATATTTACTCTCTCTCAAAAGGTACAGTGACAGTTTATTTAGAAACCACTAAATGAAAATCGTTATTATATAATTAGCTTATTTAGAGACAACTAAATGAAAATCGTTATTATATAATAAGCTTATTTAGAAACCACTAAATGAAAATCGTTATTATATAATAAGCTTATTTAGAGACAACTAAATGAAAATCGTTATTATATAATAAGCTTATTTAGAAACCACTAAATGAAAATCGTTATTATATAATTAGCTTATTTAGAGACCACTAAATGAAAATCGTTATTATATAATAAGTTTATTTAGAAACCACTAAATGAAAATCGTTATTATATAACAAGTTTTTGTAAAGTAGTTTTGAAATCTAGTTTACCAGGTAAAATTCCTGAAAAAAACACACAAGCAAATTTTAATAGCAAGGGAACAAAGCAAGTCTAAACTCACAAAAGGGAGAAGGTCAATAAATAGCTATTATGGTCATATGACTTTTCTGTTGATGGCATTTTGTGTAATGACAATAAAAAAGAAAATCTTATCTCTGAAACAATTTAGTGCCACAGTGGCTAAGTGAGTTAGGTGCTGGCTCACTTATTAAAGGTCCTGGCCAGTACCGAACAAGGCGATGGTTTACCCTTGTCAGTGGTGCAGGACGGAGGGTCTGGCAAGGACAAGTATCTAGTATTTCAGAGAGAAACACAAATCAAGCTTCAGTGTACATCTTTGGCATCATGTTAAAAATGCCCTTACAGTTGGAAATTGAAATAATAGTAGGCTTCCAGGGCACAATTTCTCTTATAGAATATTTCCGTCTTCATTAGCCCAGTTTATACAGAATAGTACGATGTTAAACACTAACACTTTGCATGATACGGCAAAACTCAGGCACACTTAGCATCTCCGAGAAACCCTAATTAAAATTCAACAAAAATACCACTAACACCAAAGACTAGACTTCCTTTTTTATAACTAGACTCATAGTTTCTTGAAAGATCCCCGATCAACATCCAAATTTTCGTTTCGGATAAGCTGGAGTTAAGATACAGCTGCTGTTTGTGCGTTTTCCCATGCTTTGTGTGGCTATCTGAGAATCACAGGTTGATACGGTTGAGAAGCAACATTAAGACTTCCATCATCGGATCCATTTATCTCCACCAAGTCAACCACTGAGATATTGAGAATTGCACATGGTGAAGACAGTAGGAACAGAAGCAGAACAGTCATAACATACTCAAGATACTCAAATTACAATTATTTAGCCTGGACATGGCATATAGAGGAAGACAATATAACAGTGCAATCTACATCTTTAATAAACTGACATCAGCTGACCAATTATAGATAAACTTTTACAGATATAATCTAGGTCAGTGTTCCCCAACATGGGGCCAGATCTAGGGCAGTGTTCCCCAAAATGGGGCCAGATCTAGGGCAGTGTTCCGCAACATGGGGCCAGATCTAGGGCAATATTCAACAACATGGGCCAGATCTAGGGCAGTGTTTCGCAACATGGGGAAGATCTAGGGCAGTGTTCCGCAACATGGGGAAGATTTAGGGCAATGTTCCCCAACATGGGGCCAGATTTAGGGCAATGTTCTCCAACATGGGGCTAGATAAACAATATATTCTGGTCCTCAGATACAACCACATTATTTATGGATAGCTGTCTGAACCGTTTCTATTCTTAAAGAACCAACATTTTTTGGATTACTACATGTTAACACTCATACTAAACTTAATACTGTCAGTCTACAATTGGCTCTGCTTTAGAACAGACATGAACCAAGCTAGTTGATCAACATATTAAGTCCGGCATCAACAATTTTAGTCGAAAACACTAAGTACTCTTAGGGAATATTGAGAAGAATTTATTCTACTTTAATTTAATAAAATCGTAAATGTTTATTTAGTCTTTGTGTGTATGATGGATGTAAAACGGATCAGGTCTTGTAATCATTCCTATACCGTTTAATCAGGTCTTGTTCTTTCCTAGATCTTGAGCCCTTTTCACGAAAATTTAAACTAAAACATTTTAAGAATACTGATGATTCATTGGCTGAGCACTAAAATCATACAAGATAATATTGCTCTTGGCTGATTTGGATTTTTTAATATACTGCTGAAAACTTGTTTTCCATTTATTTCTGGAGAATGCAGAACAATTGCATAAATAATTTTATCAAATATGAATAAACATTACATATCTATGTCAAAAATACAAAAGAAAGCAAGTTGAAATGACAAATAAAAAACAATAAAAATTTTAAAAAAAGTTAAAATTGTTCAGCCATTAATGCAGCGTATTTTGATTCAAACGTTGCAATTTCTGTATCTATTCCTTCCAAAAGAAGTTGAAATTGTTTCTGCGTCGTTGAGATTCTGCGATCTCGAAGCTGGACTTCAGGAGTTTCAGAGATTTCTTCAACAGTCTTATTCGGAGTGTGTTCCGTACACAACTTCATGTCATCCTTGACCTCACAATTTACTTCCTTAGGACATGATACATCTGACTCGCTACTTGCATCTGATTTTAATCCCAAGAAATCTGAGAAATCATCTTCGACGTACAGGCTACTTGTCTGATCGGTGACACGAGCGGATTCATTTACTATCAGTCTAGCTGTTTCTGTTTCTTTTAAGCGTGACAATAATTTCTGTTCGTATTCCGATAAACTCGACAACAAATCTTCTAAACCATCCTTGGTTTTTGGTTTCAGTATTTCAGGTTTCTTGTGAGCAATGGAGAGAACAGCACTGAAGAAAATAATAACACAGTATTTAAAAATCTTATAAAAGAAATAGAAAGGTATGAAACAGGATTTAATGCCTTTTCAAAACAATACTTTGGTCATGTGGTAATTATTTTCTATGGGGAGGGGGGGGATGGCTGAATGGTTAGCACGTGCACGTTGTATCATAAATTCTGTCATTGAGTCAACTGGCGTGGTTTGATTCCCTGGTTGTACGTGACAAGGAGTAGGGTCGCCTGTCCAACCTCGTGAGTTTTCTATAAATTACTTACTTTATTTGTCCTTTTAGTTTTCCCAGGCGATATAATTTATTTGCAGTGAATCTATAACTCTTGTTGAAACTCTGCTGTATGGAAATACCGTGTCCATGTTCCAGACCTTCTCTATAACCTTCCTGAAATATAACACATAAATTACAATCTGATTTAAAGATACATTCCCACTAATTTATCAGGTGGTTATTTCATCAAAAATAGTATCACAATTTTGGTATATATGGAAAGTAGAGACACCCAATCTTACTAGAAAAATACTATATTCCCTTAAAAAAACACCAATCAGGCCTGCACAGGACAAAAATATATTGGTATCTACTAACAAAAGAGAGAGAGAGAGAGAGAAATGGGGTTTAACGTCCACTCGACACAAACTAGGTCATTTCGGGACTAACACATGGTTCGATTTTATTTCAATAATTCGCTTGCGCGTAGGGGTCTTTAGCAGTGGGAGGAAACCGGAGGATCCGGAGAAAACCCACGACCCTACTCCTTGTCACGTACAACCGGGGATTCGAAACTATGCCAGTGGACTCAATGACAGACCTCATGATACAGCACCATTCAGCCATCAAACCCCCTCTAAATAACAGACTGTCAATTTAGCGGCCTACTTTCAAGAGTGACCTAATAGCGCTTCGTATGTGTTGATCAATGTTGTGAGAACATTGATAGAATTAAATGTCCAGTAGACTCTACAATTAAATGGCAGAACAAGAAGTTGGCAGATGATAATTAAAGAATTTATTTAAGCAAACTAACAACAAATGCAAGCTGATAATGGATTCCCCCCTAATCAAGTCACATGATAAACATCGATTAGAGCAGTTTTATTTGGATCAAAATGTTTTGACAGGTATTCGAAGTAAACTTTTGATAGATAAATCAGTTTGAATATCATCAAGCAGGAAGGCATCTTTAAATACAGGCCTTGTGTATAACCTTCCTTATCAATGGTGATTAATAATTAGGCAGGCTAATTATTGTCCTTTATAACAATGGTTATACTCTCTTATTTCTTTGTTCAACTTAAAAACAGTCATACTATTAATAAAGTAGTCATACTATTAATAAAGTAGTCATATTATTAATAAAGTAGTCATAGTATTAATAAAGTAGTCATAGTATTAATAAAGTAGTCATAGTATTAATAAAGTAGTCATACTATTAATAAAGTAGTCATACTATTAATAAAGTAGTCATACTATTAATAAAGTAGTCGTACTATTAATAAAGTAGTCATACTATTAATAAAGTAGTCATACTATTAGTAAAGCAGTCATACTATTAATAAAGCAGTCATACTATTAAATACTTGTACGTGATATTGATGGGGTTACCTGTATAACTAGGGCTATGAATGCAAAATTCATTATAAATGGATTTATTTACCATTATTTGATAAAGTCACGTTTACAGATTGAAGATATCTTAATTAAAAGCCAAGATATGAATATTTATGTTCGGTGAATCGTGTTATTTTTTGTCTAAGATTTTATATAGAGAAAATCTCTAGCACTCTAAAATACACTGAGGGGTCACAGGGGTCAATGACACAAAATTCTGGAATTAACAATGGATCAGAAGCATATAATAATGAATAATACCTGAACAAAACATCCGATTGTGCTGACAATTGGCACAAGATATGCCCGATCGACACTCTAATGTTTGACGGAAAAATAAACATATGTGGACCACAAGGTGATGCGAATATGCAAATTAGGTGATGTCAGCCATATTTGAATCCATGATGGCCACCATTATTTAATGTAATATGGATTTTATAAGCCTTTACATGTATAACAAAAATAATAGTAAGTGCAGGGGGACTGCACCACACAAAATTTACACAAAAACAAATACACGGACAGGACATCATACTCAGGAAAACATAAACATACAGACAATTAAAAAAAAGTGAATGGATCCGGGGGCTAGCCGTAAGCATCCACTGCGCTGTACAGTCCCGGGTCTGTAGTGACACAGACTTCACTCAAATTTGAAAACAATTAGGAATACAACCCAAAGAACCCATTGTGTAATTCCAGCATGAGTCATGATCTGCTATATGCTACACGAAATACGAATGTAAGCATATGTAGTAAAATTCAACTATACAAGTAACCACATCGGTGAAATGTATAAAAAAGTAGTCTAAACTCTTAAATTCAATATTAAAAATTCTGGAATCAAACCATACTATAAAAATAATTGTTTGAAATTAGCCATTTTGAAATCCAAGATGGTTGCCACAATATCAAGATGAAAGATCCACAAACTATTTTATCGCAAACCAAAAACAAACAAAAAACGGAGCAAATGTCATCATCCAACATATCAAACTGAAGTAAATCTAAACAGCAATTTAAAAAAAAAAAAACACTTTTGCACTTCTAAAATCATTACAGTAATAACAGACCAGAAAAATAAAACTTAAGATTAAATTAATTTTCAAAAAGCATCATATTTAAAAGTATTTTCTGGGATGGAAAAGTCATGCAATGTGGCATTAGCAATGTACAAGGAATTAAAGGGAGTTACCTTCCCTTAGACCATTTGATTAATCTGAGAAAATATTTGTAAGGTTTTGCATATTTAGTACAATACTGATCACCTTTGGTTGCTCAGTGAACATGCTAAGAAACATTATATTCATTTAAATTTTACAAATCCACTAGCAAACTAATTTTATATGTAATTATAAAGGACAATATAAAGCTGTGCTGTATAAATAGTACTGAATCAAAGCAAATGAAATGAAATGGGGTTTAACGTCCTACTGTTCTGCTCCAAACTGGGCTAATGAAGACAATGATTATTTTACATATTTGGTGTTGTTTTCTGACATAACATTCTGTTTTACATAGGTTCTTGTAGCCCTACTCTCAAACCACGTCCTTTCACAGCTCGGGCTTGGGACCGGCCTGAGCAGATTTAAACAGGACAACAGTTACACAAGAAACCAATTACAATAACACATGATATAATGAACACACACAACGAATACGATGGTAGTATTTTTTATTCCTTTCTCATTAACATGGATTTTGTCTGTCATACAATCAACAGGAAACTTAATATTTCTGAAAAAAACAAAAAAAGACCATTCAAAAGACGGTTAATTGCGATTCATTACCATTACAGTAAGACACTGGAGATTTTGAGAATTTTTCCCCGCTTAACAATACTCCCCACACATATACATGTCTGCAGCCAGATGCCTGAATTCTTTCTATTAGAGCACACAAGCTCTGAAAAATTGCACGAGTAGATGATGAAACACAGATATCATTACCACCTAAATCAGGACAACAAAACCAAAGTTTAGAAACAAGGTCCTCAGACAGGTTTGAAGCCTTCATCACTCCTTTTCCAAAAAACATAACATCACCAGGAACACATAAATTAGAAGACCAATACTCATCTGGATAATGCACTAATTCACTTGGGACTGGGTATCATTCAGATTTGATGAAAAAAGGAAAGAAACTGAGCTTACCATCTAGAATCTAATACACATAATAGAGTGCTATCCAGAAAGTGTTAAATGTCATCAAGATTCATCAAAAAACGTCCAGTTTCTGCTACTGTGTAGTTTAAGAAACATAGTTTAGTTTTGACATCGGTCGTCTAGTTTATGACCATTTAGTTTTATAAACTAGACGACCAATGTCAAAACTAAACTGTGTTTCTTAAACTACACGGTAGCGGAAACTGGACGTTTTTTGATGAATCTTGACAGAATTTAACACTTTCTGGATGGCACTCCATTAACTTTATACATGTATTAGATTCTAGATGGTAAGCTCAGTTTCTTTCCTTTTTTCATCAAATTGGAATGACTGGAACCAATTACACAAATCTTGACCATGATTAATCTGAAAAATAGGAAGTACAGATACATAATACTACTACATACAAGATGCATAACATTATTAGATATACAGGCAATTCATATTGTTACATGAGTATTACTCTAGTCAACACTGAAAATATCAAATAATGGTATAACTTGACCAGTATTTCTTAAATGTGCTGACAGAAACCAAGGACAATGAACTAAGGAAAGAAAATAAGCAAGACAGATAAACATCATCTACATAATGAAATAACAACTCAGCAACAAAAATAAGGACACCAGTTTTCTCTTGTTTTAATAGTCTTTGTTGTCATGGTGTTTCTTTTTGAGAAGGGGGGGTTGGATGGCCGAATGGTTACCACGCACACTGTATCATACGGTCTGTCATTGAGTCAACTGACTCCCCGGTTGTAAGTGACAAGGAGTAGGGTCGCCTGTCCAACCTCTGGGTTTTCTCCGAGTCCTCCGGTTTCCTCCCACTGCTAAAGACCCCTACGCGCAAGCGAATTATTGAAATAAAATTGAACCATATGTTTATTCCAAAATGACCTTGTTTGTGTCGAGTGGAGGTTAATCTCTCTCTCTCACTCTCTCTATCTCTCTCTTTGAGAAACAAATATCTGAGAAACTCCTCTTCTTGAGTTTTATAATACAAAGAATTATCAGATTTATCCACTGTGATGTTTAAATTTAAAGACAAAATTAGTTTTAAGTTAGAAATCAATTTAGTTTTTTGGAAGGATTCTTGAAATAGCTCTTTAGGACCAGAAGAGATGAAAACCGATTTATGAAATTTAATTTGGCATAAAACTGCATCACAGATAAATTTTTCTTTCTGTTTCTCATCAGTTAAGATAATCTACAGATGTTATCATCTACTTCATCAAAAGACCAAATACCTTCATACCTTGTTGGGCGTTGGATGGCCGAATGGTTAGTGCGTGCGCGCTGCATTATAAGGACTGTCATTGAGTCAAATGGCGTGGTTTCGATTCCCCGGTTGTACGTGACAAGGAGTAGGGTTGCCTGTCCAGCCTCGTGTTTTTTAAGTCCTCATTTTCTGATCTTAAATTTTTAATCAATTCCTGAGTATCATGCAACTCTACTTCCTTGTCTAAATTTTCATTTTCACTTTGCTCACATAAGAAACAATTTTGTTACCTTTTATTGTCACGTACAACCAGGGATTCGAAACCACACCAGCTGACTCAATGACAGGCCTTATGATACAGTGTGCATGTGCTAACCATTCGGCCATCCAACCCCTGATAATAAAAAGATCTAGACCTAGTAGCTAAAACAACCAGGCCTGATAGTACACAATTATTACAATGATAACCGCTGATTGAAGTACAAGACCGTACCACTCACACGTTTTGTTTTTTTTTACTGTAGACAGACATACATGTCATATACTGGATGTATAAGACTAAATCAACTTGTTTGTAACGACTCTGGCATTTCGAATGAGTCATGACTATCTATGTATGTCAAACATATCCACAGTCGTTGTATACAATACAACGCAATAGAAACCGTTCTATAAACCTGAGAAATGAATTTCCAACATTGTTTTGCGGTTCAGTTGTATTAAAATGAGTTCTGCATATTTGAAAACTTACATTTATGTTGCACAATCTTCTTCTGTATAAACGCCCTCGAAAGAAGATCTCCCGCGAAGGTAACGTGGCCCAGTCCAGTCCCCTGTATTTATGTAGAGAATCGACATGTGATTCCTTACGATCGTAGCTATTTATTTATTAATGTTTTAGGATAATTTATTTTGCAGTTTGTAGAAAACATATTCTTCTTCACTAATTCATATGCCCGTGTAAAAATTATATTTCTAAATATTATTGAAAAGCAAATTATTCCTTCAATTTGGCATATCTTGGCTTCTAATTCGGTAAGAAATCTAGCGCAAGCAGTATAATAAATTTTAGGATATCCTTTTTTTGACTGAACAGGAATTTTAGATCGGCATGAGTCCCTGTTAGCTTCTGAAAGGACTAAAAACAGCATACAAAGTTAGAAAGTTGTCAAAATCTGTCGGCCACAATCAATCATGGCGAGAAAATCTCTCGATAAGCTGTATGCCCTGTTCAACGGACAATTTCTCAGCATGTAATTAACGTATCAAAATATACATAACACCATTGAAAGGCGAATTCAATGCCGATTCGTAACATATAAATCAGTATAATTTTAAGTGCGAACATCTGTTTATAAATTTGATGCCATATGAAAATTAGCCATGATGAGGTCACAGCATATAGCCCTAGTATAACCCTTGCATGGGTTTGCTCTGGGTTCTTTAGTTTCCTCCATCTAATAAACATTCATTCATGCAAGGAAATTATTGAAATAGAGGTTGTTTACCTACAGGACGTTAAAACCCATTTCTCCACTCTTTCTCGGCCTAGTACGATGACCCGGCTACTTTTGACTTCCACTACTAACCCTAACCCTAACCCTAAGTAGCCGGGTCAACGTACTGCGTCTCTTTTTCTTCTTATAACCATAAGAAGAGAAAGAGACGCAGTACGTTGATACCCAGTATAAGAGAAAGAGACGCAGTACGTTGATCCGTACAGTATAAATAATACTGTTAGTGTTACGGTATAGATTTCTTTCTTAGTCGCACATACCTTTTCTAATTTTTCTTTTACTTTTGAATATTCTTTTTCAATCACCACCTTTTCATCTTCTTCCTCATCGAAGACATCGCCTGTTTTATCTGCCATTTATAATTAGGTAGTATTTAATATAACCACAATAAAGACATGCAAACTATTTTGAAACAGCATGACAAGACCACCATTTTGTTCTTCTTACTGTCACATGACACATCACGTGATGTCAAGATACTAAATCCAGACTGCTATTGCTGAGATGGAAAATGCAGTTGATTTCAAGAAAAAAAAACAAATGAAATCCGGGCAGGTATAAAAGAGTGCCGATCGATTTATCACACTTGTACTGGTTGTTTTTCCAATCACCGGCTACATATTTTTTTTTGCGTTTCATAGATTTACCCAAAACAACCTGTATTTCGAATAAAACAACAGTTTTCTTTATTTTTATATCAATATATAGATAAATGATTAATATTCCCTAAAAATTTTTTTAACAGTTCTGAAAAAAAAAGGAAATAAATTGCAGTTTGAAGCAAGAAAGACCCCCCCCCCCCCGCCCAAATCGAATTAGCCCCCCCCCCCCCAAGCCCAATATTTTTGCCAACAAAAATGATTTCTTGTTAGGAGCCTTCTTAGCCAGCCACATCCTCAGCTGCTCCAAAAAATTCCGCAGCCCCACCAAATTTTAAGAGCTGGCTACGGGCCCGAGTAAGCGTTGAGTTGTATTTACATATTGTAAAATAACTGTTATTAAAACACTAGATTTTTATGTTTTCTTTATAAATATCTATAGGTGATTAATATTTCCTAAATTTATTCCCTTTTTTTTGTTTTTATTTTTTTTTATGTTTAGGGAATATTAATCATCTATACATATAAAAGGAAAGAAAAAACAATAAAAATGTGTTGTTTTATTCAAAATACAGATTGTTTAGGGTAAATCTATGGGCCCCCTTTTTTGTACATTTAATACCAAATTTTTTTTTTTTCATCAACACCCTTTAGTTAAAATTATCTATCCAAAAATAAAACCAAACATAAACAAGATAACTATCTATGAGCTCGTAAATATTCACTCCACTCTGGCATCAGGCGAGTTGTTAGTATCGATATAGATTGCAACTTCTTTTTTTTTCTGTAAATTAAGTTATAAAATCATTTTTTAAATTGTTAAGGAAAATTGTATATTTCCTATTTAGTGTAAATAAGGAGTAGTATAGACCTTGTGTAATCAGTGATACACATACACCACCTGTAATACATACCTTCTGTAATCAGTGTTGCATATCATCTGTAATCAGTGACACACATCACCTGTAATCGGTCTGATTGTCCGTAATCAGTGATGCATATCATCTTTAATCAGTGATGCATGCCACCTGTAATCAGTGATGCATATAATCTGTAATCAGTGATGCATATCATCTGTAATCAGTGATGCACACATTGTGTAATCAGTGACCCACAATCTGTGGTGATCAGTGGCACACACTCTGTAATCAATGTAGTCAGTGATAAACACCATCTGTAGTCAGTGATACACACCATCTGTAGTCAGTGATACATACCATCTGTAGTCAGTGATACACAATATCTGTAATCAGTGATACACTACATATGTAATCAGTGATTCACACCAACTATTATCTGTAGACTGTATGTAAGGAGACATGAACACTATTGAACTGATTAAAGATAATTTTGTTATCTATTCATAACTTTATGGATTTACTACTTCTTGGTTTATTACTTGCAACGTTTCAAAACTCTTTGTTATTTATGTAGATCCGCAATAATGAAATAGGATACAAATCATACCAAATTGATCTATATCCAGTTCTCTGAAAGTCTTGTAGTCAGGTAAAACAGGTAATAATGATGATTGATTATATTAAACATAATCTCAGATTAACTACTATTGACAACAGGTTGATTGGTTTTCTCAGACAACTTTATCTTTTATTGGTTTTGATTGACAACTCTTGAACACATGTGATTTTTATGAGAAATGTTTTAGGGGTTTTTTTTGCTGTGATTTATGCAAAAACTACCTTAAAATTTTGATAATGAGTTGGCGTCCTTGCTATAATAGTTTAAACATAGATAATGAAAAATACATATATATATATATATTGAATATTTGATTCAAATTACTTTATTCTGGGCAAAGTTATCACTGTTTGAAGATGTAGCTAGATCGTATATTATCGTAGACAACAAGTAGTTGATTGTTTTAGACGATAGCACAGGCTAGAGTCAAGTGAATATTATTAAGCAGATGAGATCTCTCGCTTAGGTTTATGATAATATGGGGGGGTGGATGGCTGAATGGTTAGCACGTGCACGTTGTATCATATGGTCTGTCATTGAGTCAACTGGCGTGGTTTCGACTCCCCAGTTGTATGTGATAAAGAGTAGAGTTGCTTGTCCAACCTCGTGGGTTTTCTCCGGCCCTCCGGTTTCCTCCCACTGCTAAAGACCCCTACGCGCAAGCGAATTATGGAAATAAAATTGAACCATATGTTAGTCCCGAAATGACATAGTTCGTGTCGAGTGGACATTAAACCCCATCTCTCTTTTTCTCTCTCTCTCGTATGATAATATTGTGAATGGGGGTTATGTTTTTAAATAAAGAAATAAACAAGCTAAGAAATGTTGACAAATATTTCGATTGGATGAGTGTAAGTAATTACCGGTAATTGTTTAGATGATAGCATGTGTGAAAGTTGAGTGAATATTATTTAGCAGATGATGTCACTCGCACATCATCGTGGAGCAAAAGTTACTGACAAAGTTGTTTTGGGATGTCACTTTTTTTTTTACCTTCATTCATAATTCGAAGCGGAGTATAAAATGAAGGTCAGACTTCTGCTGATAGGAGTATCCACTTATACCTCGAAAAATACTGTAAACTTTAGAGGTATATTACAGGTGTGAATATGAAACAGGTACGAGTCATCGGCAGTAGTCAGTACGCTTTCATACTATCATATTACAACAATACGTAATTTTGTAGTAGTATTACTGACATAAATTTGAATACCATACGGTATGGTGCACATATTTTTGTTAGGTACAAATTTTTTGAAACATGATTTTTAATTGTGGTCAGCTTTTGGTAAAAATGTCCGATAAGAAAAATTTTGAAATAGCAACACTGGTAGGGACAAGGTAGGCATATTGTGTTGTAAACCACGTTAGATAGGCATATTGTGTTGTAAACATTGTTAGATAGGCATATTGTATTGTAATCAATCTTAGGCATATTGTGTTGTAAACAACATTAAATAGGCATATTGTGTTGTAAACAATGTTAGATAGGCATATTGTGTTGTAAACCACGTTAGATAGGCATATTGTGTTGTAAACAATGTTAGATAGGCATATTGTGTTGTAAACCGCATTAGATAGGCATATTGTGTTGTAAACCACGTTAGATAGGCATATTGTGTTGTAAACAATGTTAGATAGGCATATTTTGTTGTAAACAACGTTAGATCAGATAAATGGTTGAAATGTAAGAGATGAGATTAAATTGTAAAGTAAGCTTGAAGTATATCAGGGTCCAAATTTGTGTGAAAATTCTCAAAAACCTATGAAAAACTTAAACTGACAAATATCACTATCAGAACCCTATCTTTCTGTCTGCGAACCATCACAATAGTGACCAAACTAGAGAAAATATCAAGACACTTCGAAATTATTTGGTTTGCCTACCTAACCATGTGGGTTTTAGTGAGTTCTAGTTGGTTTGCCTGCCTAACCATGTGGGTGTTAGCGAGCTCTAGTTGTGTGTTGTGTGTTGTCATGAGCTCTAGTTAGTTTGCCTGTCTAACCATGTGACTTTTTTCTGAATTCTTTGGTTTTAATTACACTACTACAGAATCCTGAACCATACTTTATTTGTTACCAGTGGTTTATGAAATATCTGTACTGGTACAGGTTAAGCATTTCCCAGAAATTTAAATTATAATGTCCGACTAGCTATCCTATTCTGTTTCTCATTCTCCAAAATAAATAAAACTTTTGCCGATATTATATAAAAGAATAATTAGCTTCAAGTATCTCACATGCTAGAAAGAGATTAACTTGATATTCTGTACTTTATAAGATAGACTAATAAGCCATCCATCATTTTATTGTGATACAATAGGAACTTAAGTTGGCACTGAAGACTTAGTCATGGAAACTATTGATTTATATGGAGAAGAAGGAATGTTGATCATTGCAGCTACATTACAACCTAAATCTATTGATAGCCAATTTACAGGTTATTTGGGGACTTTTTGAAGAGGATATATTTTTACTTGATCATATAAACTGAGGTAAGTGAATTTATGTTACTTTTACTAAATTAAAAACCCAATATTCACAACAAAAAAATAAATAATCGCTCAGTATTCACAAAAATAGACATCAATATAGACTTACAGAGAACACAGTACGGTTAGTCTTATCAGAACACGGTACCGGTGTCTTATCAAAATATAGACTTTCAGAGAACACAGTACCAGTAGTCTTATAAAATACAGACTTTCAGAGAACACAGTACCGGTGTCTTATCAAAATATAGACTTTCAGAGAACACAGTACCAGTAGTCTTATCAAATACAGACTTTCAGAGTACAGTACTGGTAGTCTTATCAAAATATAGACTTTCAGAGAACACAGTACCAGTAGTCTTATAAAATACAGACTTTCAGAGAACACAGTACCAGTGTCTTATCAAAATATAGACTTTCAGAGAACACAGTACCAGTAGTCTTATAAAATACAGACTTTCAGAGAACACAGTACCAGTAGTCTTATCAAATACAGACTTTCAGAGAACACAGTACCAGTAGTCTTATCAAATACAGACTTTCAGAGAACACAGTACCAGTAGTCTTATCAAATACAGACTTTCAGAGAACACAGTGCCAGTAGTCTTATCAAAATATAGACTTTCAGAGAACACAGTACGGGTAGTCTTATCAAATAGAGAACACAGTACCGATAGTCTTATCAAAGTGTTGGGTCAAACATTAGGCCACACCCGTTGGTTTTCCTATTCTTCAGGAACACCTCTCATAATTTTCCTTCTTATTTCTTTGGGAAAGAGACTAATTTAAAATCCAAAAGTACTTTGTTGAGTTGTTTAAAATCTTTCAGTTCCAAACTTCTTTCACGTGATCTATGTGACTTTTTATTTATCAAGACTGAACAACAGAAAATCATATTGGTGTGGCCTTATTAATATTGGTCTTAATATCTTTTCTTATTGTATATTGATCCTGGTGCAGGACGCAGGACCTGACAAGGACAGCTGTCTAGTCGTTCAGATGGGACAAAAAAACTAGGTCCTGTGTACACATTGGCATGCACGTAAAACATTGCTTGGCAATTGGGATTTAATATAACACTGTAACCCAGGTATCATTTAATCTTGTGTATCTAGCACTAATTTCTTTAACATTCGTTTAATATCAAATCTTGGTTTAAAAAATTCGTAAAAATCGTTTAAAATCACCAAAAATCATCTAATTTGTACTTGTGTCCAGTTTAAAGATGACTGATTAATTTTGGTAATGAGTGTCCAATTTACAAGTATTTAATTTCCTGACCACTCTTCAAAAATTAATCATCATACATCATTAATCAATTGGGGTTGTTTAATTTTTAACAGTGGATAATAAACGAATGTGAAAGAAATTAGTGCTAGATACACAAGATTAAATGATACCTGAGTTACAGTGAGAGTAGGTCATAGCTTCGCTGTCCGGTCAAACAGTTCTCTCATAGCACGCTGTATGGCATATGCACGTCTGTATAGCCCAGTAGGAGTAGAACAGTAGGACTTTAAACCCCTTTTCCATTTATTTCATTTCTTAATGTGAGATGTGGACATTTAAAGTTCATGTTACTTGTAATCATTAGTCAACATCTGAATGATATTTCATCTCTATCTATGAACATCAAGGCCAAGATGGTATCTAACCTGTATTTTTTATTTTAATCATCCAAATTGCTAGCTCATATCATTTTAGATTTGTTTCATTTTTAACAAATGATCTAATTCTCGGATCACAGATTTAGGTACTAATGAAATCATTTCAAATCAAACATACAGAAATTCTGTTTTTCTTAACGATCAACAAATATCTTGGAATTATCCTTGAATTACTGTACTCATATATATACTTGTTATATTGTTATATTACAGGTTTTATACAAATCTATAAACTCAATTATTTACCTATATTGTTATATTACAGGTTTTATACAAATCTTTAAACTCGATTATTTACCTAGTGTATGTAGGGGTTATACAAATCTTTAATCTCGATTATTTACCTAGTGTAGGGTTGACAGACTGAAGCCTACAAGGGCCTCATGG